GCAGTGTGTCAGTGTGTGCAGCCTGTGCTCTGGCACGCCCCCTGCAGTGTGTCAGTGTGTGCAGCCTGTGCTCTGGCACGCCCGCTGCAGTGTGTCAGTGTGTGCAGCCTGTGCTCTGGCACGCCCCCTGCAGTGTGTCAGTGTGTGCAGCCTCTGCTCTGGCACGCCCGCTGCAGTGTGTCAGTGTGTGCAGCCTCTGCTCTGGCACGCCCGCTGCAGTGTGTCAGTGTGTGTAGCCTGTGCTCTGGCACGCCCCCTGCAGTGTGTTCAGCCTTCTTCCTGGCTGGCCAGTCTCCTTATTCATGGAAGCATCTCAGCAGTTACAGTGTAAAACTCGGTGAGGTGTCCATCCGTGGGTGATGGAGAAGTGTGAGGTGCATGCACCATGCTCTTTTCAGTACTGAAAAGAGAGGTGCCGATCCTCCCACTTACACATAAAGTTGAAATATTCCCAGGACAGGAGCCGAGAGGAGAATGGGGCTGCTAGCGATGGCACAGGGAAGGGGAGAATGGGACACTGAAACAAAAGCTTCAATTATACTCAGGTTGAGCTCCAGTCTGTTGTACGTCATAGAGAGAGTAGCACTGTATTGTAACTCTGAAAATCAGAGGATAGATTTTGTGTTCCCAGAACAAAAAAGTATGTAAAGCAATTCATATTGGCTTGATTTAGCCATTTCACAATGGAAACATAGATCAAAGAATGGTTTTATGCCATAAGTACATACGATTTTCATGAATGGAAGACAGAAGTACACTGCACCATATGCGTGTGCTCAGCCTGGCCAAGTTGGTGTAGGGGTAGCCAGGCCTCGGAGCTCAGCTGCCTGTGCTTGTGTTGAAAGGAGGATGGTGTGATCTGTGGTCCTGGGCCGCTCCTGTGTGCTTCGTGGCCGAGTGTGGTCCCAGGCTGCCCCGTGGTAGAGTGTTGTGCTCAAAGCTGCCAGCGCTCTCTGGTGATTTCCGTGTTTCCAGGACATCTCTGCGAACTTCATGGGCTCTACAGAAAGACTGTGTGGCTAAATTTCAGCTAGAATCTCTTGTCTGGAGCAAGGCTATCGTTCACGATGCTGCCATACCTAAAGGTAGAAATGCAGCTTGTTTCTGTAGTGTCGTGGTTGTCACGTTCGCCCCACATTAATGGTAGAGACGTTACTGTTACGATGCAGGTGCATGGAGACAGACCAGTGCCGTTTGTCATTCTTTTCCTTTAAGTCAAAATTTTACATTTTCTTGGAATAGCTATGAAATTAGCACTGAATTTGGAATCAGAAAGCCTTGGTTGAAATCCTGAGCAGTATTAGTAATATTCATGAAGTTGGCAATTTCATCATAGATGTCCACTATACTTCTGGTGTTCACTTGAAGACCATCACATGTGGTGATATAGCATGATCTCTTCATTTTTTAATGCATAGATGCTTCATTAATCTGATAAGCTACCTTAGTTTTTAAAATGATCTTTGAATACTTGTACAAAGAAGGTGCTATTTAACAAAGTTGTTTATAAATACAGTGTATCTTGATTGGAACATCCTCACCTCCCTTTTTTGTTGTTACATGAGTAAGGTAGTGAGTACATTTTCTATTGAGCATTGTTACCCCCTCTTTTGTTTTTCCCCTACCATTCCTTCCCTCCCCACCTGCCCAACTCCTCCCGCCCTCCTTCAAAGTGGTAAAGTTCGTTTTCAACATAGTGTCTTGTACATCTCATTGTTACAATGGGTCAACCTGTATCCTTATTTCAGCATTTTGTTATTTCTCTTCCCCTCCCCAAATTAGAAAAATGTACATACAAGATGCAGGGCACTGGAATCAAATACAATAAAAACAGGGGTTGTACAATGAGGGAAGAACATACAAAAGAAACCAATCACACAGTACATTATAAGTACATTAAAAACAACAGCAAGAAAGATAAAACCTCGTGTCCCTATTTTGGGGTTCATTTTGCTTAGCATCATCTTATTTGGTCATATGTACATAGCTTTTGACCTTTTCTGCTTGTCTTAGACATATACTAGTTATTGCAGACAAGGAAAACCATGGAACCTACGTTTCTTTGGGTCTGGATTACTTCACTTAAGATAATTTTTCCAAGTCTTTCCATTTCCTAACAAATGGGGTGGCCTCACCTCCCTTTGACCCTTCCCTTTTCTTAATTTTGTGGTATACTCAATGAAGTGCAATGTGTGGTTTCTTTTCTTGTGGGAAATGTAAGCAATACTGCTCAGTAGTGTTTCTTTCTTGTTCTAACATTATTATATATTCTTCATGTCAATGATTTAATTTTGGAACATTCATTGAGGTTGTCTTTAGGAGGAAAAGGAGGGTGTTTCACATGTGAAAAAAAGTCAATGGAAAGTAAAGTTTGAAAGTGTTTCTGTTTAGGAATTCAAATGGTCACATTGAGAGGCTAGAGGCTGAGACCTGGAGCCCTGCACACCCTAACGAGTGCTGGCTAGTTCTCAGCTGCTTGGAGTCACTTCCTCCCCTAGAGCCTCTGGGAGTGGCAGGGGAGCTGCGAGGCCGGGCTGGCCTCTGCTGCCAGTGTGGTACTCGTGGTCCTGCCTGTAGCCGCACTCCTCACCACCTGAGGTAAATGCAACGCCTGCAGCAGCGTTTCCACAGGAGAAGTCTCAGGCCTAAAGTTGTGAGTGAAAAGCTCGTTTGCTGCCACCCCGGACACATGCTTGTCATTATAGCGCGTGTCGCCATGTTGGCCCTCAGTGAAGAACTGCTGAAGAAGAGTGGAGGACGTTGATGCTGAGGCCATCAAACCTTCTTCTGACACTGGATGTTGGTCTGTAAGACTTGGACAGGTGGGCTCGGGGCCACCCAGGCCGAGCCTCTGTGTGTGTGGACTTGGCCCCGGCCCCAGGCCGCCTGCAGCGCTAGTGCTTTATGGAGCAGATGTGCCTGGCTCGTGGCCTGCCGGGTGTCAATGTGCTGGCTGCGGACTGCGCCCCGCTGACTTAGCTCTGTTTTCCAGCTTCAGACAGCCGCGTCCTGGCCTGTGCAGCCGTGTGGAGGATGCCCAAGGAGCTGGAATCCGGCAACCACGAGTCTCCCGACGACTCCGCCAGCACCGCGCAGACCCTGGAGCTGCTCTGTCACCTTGACAACGGGGCCCAGAGCAGCGTGGCCTGGTAGGATGCTGCGTGTACTCACACCCAGAGCGAGCCTGCAGGCTGCTGGGTGCCGCAGGGCCCTCCCTCCCTGGCAAGGGCTCCTGTCTCTCAGAGCATGCCACGTGTCGGTTTGGGCTCTTGTCCCCCATGTTTCCTACGTTAGCCACATTGTGGAACCTGCAGGTGTCGTGGCGGGCCTGGGTTCCAGCCACCCCCTCATCTGAGAGAGTGTTCCCATAGTCGCCTGATGGAGTGGTGACAAATGATCTGCTACGTCAGCGTGCCCAGATCCTCCTGTCAGTCACAGGGAGACATGACTGCCACCCACCGGGGCTCCAGGGCGGGGCTCCCTTGTGGGTCTGGGCCTGGGAGTAGTCCGGCTGCAGGTGGGGGCTGTTGTTTTCATGACTGGTGCTCCCACCTAGCCAGTGATCACGTCCTCCCATGGAGGACCTGCGTGGGAGGTTACTTGGTCTTACAGAGGCCACTGGGTTCCAAAGCCCCGGGAGGCATGGCCTCGACACTGTGCCGAACCACTGTCAAATCATATAGCCCCACCAGCGTCTGCGTTCCACACCCTGGCCAGCTCCTAAAGCAGACCCTTGTGTATGCGTGCATGTTTCCAAGGCCGAGCTCACTGGGGCACACAGGGGAGCCACAGGACAGGCTAGCCATCACAGGCTGGGCTGGAGGTGGAGGTCCTGTGTAGAGATGCCAGTACCGTGATGTGGGCAGTGCAGAGACCAGAGCTGCCTGGAGACTAGAGCTGTCCAGGAGGGCACGTTATGCTCGCGTGCCTGGTGGGGACCTGATATTTGTGTGTCACACCCAGTCATCCACACGTCCATGCATCCATGAATGACAGACTGCTGTTTGTATTTAAACACACGCAGACCAGCTGGCCCCAGATGCACCTGGGTGTTACTGTGCGGGTTTTGCTGCCTTTGTGCAAAGCCTTCTTGAAAGCTTTCCTGCTCCCACTTCACTGTTGCATATTCTTTTTCTTCTCATCTGCTGTCGAGTGTCTTCCTGTGAGGTAGCTGTAGGTTTGCCGCAGTACATGGGACCCGTGACCTCTCTGCCCATGGTAATGGTGCTCCAGCAGGAGGCGGCTGGTGCGCGTCACTGCCCCGCCAGTTCTCTCAGGCCCACGTACACGAGGGCTCAGTTCTGTTCATTGTTGCTGTGTGTGGTCCCATCACCAGGCAGAGCAGCCATCCAGGGGCCCCTGTGCCTTTTACAGGTATAGGCACCCCTCCTCCCCCAGCCCTGTCCTGACCAGTGCTAATCCCACATTTTTTTTCTTTTTCAAGACCAGGTCTGTAATTTGGTATCCCATGTTTTTGCTCATTGGCTGGTGCTCTACCGCCTGAGCCACACCTCCAACCCCTGTAGTTGCTATTTTGCTTTGTGTGCCAGGTGAAGGATGTTGAGGTTCTCCCAGTTTTGCAGTTAGGAACAAAGCTGATGTTCATGTCACATGTCACATGTCCATCTAATGTACACCTTCATCTCTCCTGGCTGAATGCCCCAGGATCAGAGACTCATTGCTGCTGCTTTCTTTTAAAATAGTGTGCACTGCACCGTTCTCGAGTGACCGTACATTTGGTGTCCCCCGCAGTGTGAGGACCACGCTTGTTCTCGCTTTCTCTAGTGGTGGCACAGTTTTATCATTAGACCTGGGATTCATTTCTACAAATTTAGGTCAGTGGGTACAACGGACGTAAAGGGTGCTGTTTGGAGGGAACAAGAGGCAGTCAGCAGTGTTTTGGGGTATGTGTGTGTTGCCTTTTGAGGTGTAAAGTGGCAATGAGGAGGCTCAGGAAGAAGGGCTCTCAGCACTTCCTGCTGGAGTGCTGGAGACAGCTGCAGACCCCTGCACTCGGTGGTCTCTTCTGCAGAACTAGAGCTGGCGCCACCCCTCCCCTGCCGAGGGAAAGGCGTCCGGGGGGGGGGCACCTTGAGTCTGTCTCACTGTCCGCGGGTTGGTTTGCTCTGTTGGGGCCTTGCACTCTTACTTGGCCTTTTCACTCAAGGCTGGCACTCTACCACTTGGACTATATCTCTACCAAAAGGTGGTTAATTGGATATATGGGTCTCATTGATTTTCTTGCCTGGGCTGGCTTTGAACTGTGATCCTCAGATCTCCGCCTCCTGGGTTATAAGTATGAGCCACCGGTACCCAACTGTTACTGTTTGCTTTATTTGCAGCAGTCTGAAGTCCTAACTCAGGATGGCCCTCATGCCCATTTCAGCCCTCCAGCAAGCAGGGTTCAAATGGGGCTCATGGTAGCCAGTGACGCCTTGGTCTCCCGGTATGTATCAAAGGCCTGTGATCCAGTGTGCTCACTTGTCCTTCAGGCGAGGTCCAGAGCTCAGCTTCCTGTGGAGACGGGCCTGGGAGCACAGCAGGGCTGGCGTTACCTGCACTAATCATCCCTGCAGTCACTCACCTCTCCAGAACAGACTACATCTCTGCTCCTGAGGCAGGACTTCTGTGTGGAAATGGGGTACTCTCCGTGTATGCTAAGAAAAGTAATCACGTGAGGCGTGAGCACAGGCAGCCCTCTGTCCCTGCCGGCCTGGCTTTCTGCCCTGTGGGGCCACATGTTGAGCTTACTTCAGTGCGTCGCTTCCTACAGATAGAGCTGATGGCTTTCTAGCTCTGTTTTGCTTCCAAACCATTCTCTAAAGTAGCCACTCTCTACTGGTCCTGAGTGTGCATCATTCCCCAGCCCTGTGCCTTTGCTCAGCTCCGCCTTCGTTCCTGCCTGTGTGTGATGCTCTGAACACCAGGGACAGTGCCGCGCAGGGAGGCCTGGGCGTGGGAGGGCACGGTGATGCGGACCCCGTCCCAAGGCTTTGCATACCGGCCTCATTGAGTGGCCCTGTGAAGTGGGCTGCCGCTGCCCCGCAGTCAGGGAGGGGAGGAGAGTGGCCGTCGCTGGCTCACTCTCCAGTGGTGCTGGGGTTCCTGGCTGACCCTTGCTCCAGAAGCGCCCACGCACGTACCAGCCACACAAGCAGAAGCTGGGCTCCCTCACGGCTCGCCTCGGGGCTGGAGGCCGTTTCAGTTGCTAGGTATAGAGACCTGCTTCATTGGAGTAGGCTTATCTTCTTAGCCTCGAGCTTGTCCTTCTCGAAGGCAGATGGGAGCAAGCTGGACTTCGTGGAGGAGAGGCCTCTTTCTTCCCTAATATGTTTCTCATCCCCTCCTGCTCGTTCTCTTCAGTCTGCTGGCAGTTACTTGCTCTGGAGAGCAGTGGACTTGGGTGTAGTCCGGCACAGACTTCAGATCCACAGCAGTGACCCGTCCTGCAGTGACCCGTCCTACAGTGACCCTTCCCGCAGTGACCCGTCCGGCAGTGACCCATCCCGCAGTGACCCGTCCTGCCCTCCCCTTTCCTCCTGCAGTGACCCGTCCCACAGTGACCCGTCCCGCAGTGACCCGTCCCGCAGTGACCCGTCCTGCCCTCCCCTTTCCTCCTGCAGTGACCTGTCCCGCAGTGACCCGTCCTGCAGTGACCCATCCTGCAGTGACCCATCCCGCAGTGACCCGTCCTGCAGTGACCCGTCCCGCAGTGACCCGTCCCGCAGTGACCCGTCCTGCAGTGACCCATCCCGCAGTGACCCGTCCCGCAGTGACCCGTCCTGCCCTCCCCTTTCCTCCTGCAGTGACCCGTCCTGCAGTGACCCATCCCGCAGTGACCCGTCCCGCAGTGACCCTTCCCTCAGTGACCCGTCCTGCAGTGACCCATCCCGCAGTGACCCGTCCCGCAGTGACCCGTCCTGCAGTGACCCGTCCTGCCCTCCCCTTTCCTCCTGCAGTGACCCGTCCCGCAGTGACCCATCCCGCAGTGATTCATCCCGCAGTGACCCGTCCCGCAGTGACCCGTCCCGCAGTGATGTGTCCCGCAGTGACCCATCCCGCAGTGACCCATCCCGCATTGACCCGTCCTGCAGTGATCCGTCCCGCAGTGCTCCGTCCTGCAGTGACCCGTCCTGCAGTGACCCGTCCTGCCCTCCCCTTTCCTCCTGCAGTGACCTGTCCCGCAGTGACCCGTCCCGCAGTGACCCGTCCCTCAGTGACCCGTCCTGCCCTCCCCTTT